TCCTTCAGTTGCCGTGTTTGTGTTGGTTCAGCAGGGGAGCACCCGAACCTCAAAACAATGACCAAACCACAAATCTGGGCATTTTCTCTTGGGTCCTTTGATTGTGTTTTCCAGGGGCCAAACTTCTACCCTTGCACCTTGCGATAGGGTCTTTGGAGCGCTCAGTTCCATCATTTGTTAGTCATCCATCATTTTCTAATGTTCCCTGAGTTTCCAGCGGTCCTCTTGTTGTCCATTGTCCATCAGGTTCCTTACTTCCCACATGTTTCCTTTAGGTTCCCTTATGTTCCCTTACGGCTCCCTCATCTGCCTACGTGAATTTTCGCTCAGCTGGCCAGTCAGGAGCGGAAGCCGTGCCAAGCACCTCGGACCGATTCCCCTGGACGATACCGTCTTGTGACTATCGGGAAGTGACTTTCCGATAGTCACAGGGCTTCCTATCCGTCCTTGGCTGTTGAACTTCAATGTCACGTTTGGTATTCTTTTCCTTGAAGTTGGGTGATGTAAATGTCGGCCCATGGCCATGTGCTGACGTCCCGCGTGGATTTTCCTTGCAACAAGTACTCTTTGAGGATGGCTTTTATTGGGAGTTAAAAAGGGATGACCTTCAGGGGTGAAAGTTGGACAAGAAGGGGGGTTGAAACAATTGCCCTGTTGGTGGTTTTCAGCATCGCCTTTTGGCCAAATTAAAGTGAGTTTCTCTTTGGCAGGTGATTCCAAGGCGAAATATGGAGCCCTACCCAACTAATCAAAGGGCACCATCACCGAACCCAACTAGTGAAGTCCCTTCCAAAGTGCACGTTCATTCTGTTTGGTGACTGCGAGAAGCTCCAATCCGTTTTGATTTCGGCTTGACTGGGGGGGAAGTAAGATACAGGCTGAAACGAGCCACAATATTGATGGCAGAGTGGCTAGAAGCAAAACGAGCAATCCGATCCTGTGCGTCGTTCTGAGCAAGTATTTCTGAGCGACCTCGCACGGACTTTGGTTTGCAAAGGCTTTTGGACTGAACGGTTCTTATTGATATGGATATGTGGCGCTTTGTGTTTTTTTTGAGGGCACCCCTTTTTGGAAAAACACAAGACACCCACCACTCCCACCGCCTATTTTGGCATGGCTGCAAGCGTGACGTGTTTGGTGATGGCGTGTTTGTGTCAAAAGGTTATACGCCCTGGGGCGAAGATTCCATGTGCCTTCTCTGACAGAGCGAATATCACCCAGAAGACAGTCGTGTGTACATGTGCGTACATTCAGTTTGTGGGAAAAAAAACTGGGGCCCTGTTTTCTCTTAATCGGGAATGCCCTTGCACGCCCTATGATTCAATCTGAACATTTGCAGCAAGCGGGGCCCCGGGTTCCTGAGGGCTTTAGTCACGGCACTTTAACAGAGACTTGGGAAGTCGATAGTTACCATAATCTAGTAGATGTACCATCATATTTGCCATCATTTAGATGACATCCACGGAGGTTGAGATTTGACAGACTTTCCAAAATTAGCACTCGGACAATGGGCACTATACTCATCAAATTCCCATGGAGTTTGGCACGCAATGAATATTGGTTGTGGCTCGCCTGACAAAGGGTTTGGTGCCCTTTGATTGTTGGATCCGCAACTTCCTCCCCCCCCCCTCCCGGGTTTTGGGTTGGAGAAGCCCATTGCGATACGAAACAAGTATCCGGGCTCATCCCTGGTTTTGCTTTTTCTCTACGGGTGCCTTGCTACCTAAGGAATCAATTACCAAGTAAAGCAATTTAACACCCCAAGAGCCGTCCTTAAGGCAAGCCGAGGGACCCTCTGTGACGGAAGTCCTGATTCAATGCAGGCCTGCACGCTGCAAACATTGCACTGGGGTCAAAACAAACACCAGAAAGAAACAAAGAAATAAAACATCTAGAACGGAGTAAAAGCACAAGCCTCCGACTGGACAGCAAACGAGACACAGCCAGACGATCTTTATCCGCAGAATGACGGCCGAGGGCCAGCAGAGATCGCAGCAGCCGGGAGCCTTGCGTTCCGAGCAATGGAGGGTAAGCCACTGAGAGCATTGCCAGACTTAGCTTTCCTTTCCTGCTTTTGGGTTTCCATTATTTTCATTTAATTTCTGCAGGAGATCACAGTCTGGCCCAGATGAGAAGTGCCTAATGAAAGGATTGTTCAATCAGGAGATGACTTTCCTTGGCGGCCTTAAAGGTGAACCCCCTCTAAATGAACAAGGACATACAGAGGGGGTTGGTTTGAGAGTTGTGGCATCGACTTCATTGCCTCAGGGAACCACATCAATTGCGCCTCAGTGTGAGAAGATGTCTGTCGCACTGTTCGCAAGGTTGATTCCCATTCTGTTCACCCAGGGTGCTTTCTACAAACCAACACTTTGATCTGGGTTTGGGGACTTTTCTGAACAAGCAGGTCCTTGGGGTATGGCTATAATTGTTGCACATCCAAGCCAGCTCACTTGCCCAGAACGCATCGGCGTTGGAAGCGCTTTTGGTTTTCCATGTGTTGTTTTTTGCTGAGTCCGTGTACCAAAAGTGATTCGCCATTTCTTTCCAGGTCCTTTGGTCAACTTGTGAAAGGTTGCTTTATTTTATTTGCACGTTGGGTGTAGTTTTTGCATTGGCATACCCCTTTTTGGGGTTGATTACAAAACCAAAAAGGAAACCAGTCTAGAGGCTCTGAGACCAACTCGTAAATATATACATATCTAGAGATTGTGTATATATGTACCAGTCCCTGGGCCACGTACCCCCCCCCCCCCCCCCCTTGGTATGGTCCCCCCACTCCCCCGCATCATCCGCATCTTGGGGATGATGCTGGCAATGCTGGGGATGCTGTCCAGTACCGTGCGAGCCCTGCAGCTTCGGTCCCAGACCCCCTTTCACCCCGTGAACCAACACCCCCGCACCTCTCGCAACATCCTACCCTAAACCAAACCACCCTGCAACCCCTCCTTAACCCCAACCCTAAGCCTAAATCAACCCAAAACCCAAACCCACCCGAAACCCACCGCAAACCAACCCTGAACCAACCCTGAACCAACCCTAAACCAACCCACCAAGCCTAAACCAACTCCGAACCCACCCAACCACCCAACCACCCAACCACCCAACCACCCAACCACCCACCACCCAACCACCCACCACCCCACCACCCCACCACCCCACCACCCCACCCCCACCCCCACCCCCACCCACCCACCCCACGGGGGGGGGGGGGGGGGGGGGGGGGGGGGGGGGGGGGGGGGGTCCACGGCCTGGAACATATATATATATATATATATTGTATCAACCGCACCGCCGTTGAGAGAACCGTTTGTCTCCTTCCCACGAGCTGAGGCAGCCGGAGCAGAAGCTGAGCCATGCGGCTGGCCAGGGGTCTGTCGACGGGGCCTGAAAGGCCTGGGCGAATAGCAACCTCGCTGGGTTCTGCGAGCTCGCCTGTGAGGAAGCTTTGGGTCTCCCGTCCGAGGGAAAAGAGCTAGGGAAATCAAGCCCATTACAAAGAGTTCAGGAAACCATCCAATGAAAAAGTACTTACAGAAAGCGTCCCCCCAAAAAAAGGGGTCAGAAGAAGCACGGGGAAGTCCAACTTAGAAGGGTCTGCGGGCGAGAAGCGGATGAGCCCGAGGTGAGTCACAGCCGGAGGCGGTAAAACGAATGGCACGTGCAGAGTCTTGGAGTGGATGTAAAGAAGGGCCGGCCTCTTCATTTGTGCTTGCCGTGCTGGCAGCACAGTTTGGTTTGGTTTGCGTTTTTAAGGGTGCCCTTTTCAGGCTGTTTAATTAAACAGAAAGCAAAGGAAAACCACCAGTTCGTGGGTCTATCTAGCTATTTTCGCACATACCCATTGGTCGACCAAGACTGTCGAGCCGCCGAGTCAGGTGTCAGGGAAGATTCTTTTCTCAGGTGACTGGCTTCTATTTGCCCCATTGCGTGCTATGGTTGTCAAGGGTCTTCTGGCAGGCGGGCCGCCTTTGGCCCATGGTACAATCATGGGTTGAGGGGTCGCTTTGGGTTCTCCAATGAAGGGCCCAAAGGGGGCTCTCTCGGCGGTGTGAGAAACCATTGAGAGATAGGAAACCATATTTGTGGGCGTAGTTCTTGGAGGGTACCCTTTTTGGCGTGGTTTTGGGCCAAGGTGTTGGGAAACCAATAGGAAACCACCAATTTTGCTGTGACACCCCGTTTCGACACGTGGCCATACTGTGGCAGACTTCCCAGCACCTAGACTTTTGTAGAAGGTAACTGATGGCAATCCTTCTCATCCCCGCTTTCACACTGCCTCGCTGATTGGTCTGCACAAATTGTGACGAGCTCACTGCATGTAGTAAATCCAGCGATGCCACAAACCTTGATACATGAGTGATACATGCCCCCGTACTGAGAATTCCTTATGTTCCAGCTTGCGTTGATTCCGCATTTTGCCCACGTGCTTTCAAATTGTCCAGACCCCGTTTTTGCACTACGCATTTTGTTTTTGTCGCTCCTGGACCCTTCCGTTTCCGACTCCTCCCTGCAGCCCCTTGGGCCCTCCAACAGCTCCTTTCTTCAGGCCCATGGTAGTCTGCAAGGGTTCAATGCTCAAAGTCACGGGTTGCCCTTCTCCCACCTGTCCACAAGCTGCAGCAGATGGGTAAAACGCAGCTCTGCATGACGTTGGTACAAAGCTTGGTGCAGCGCAAGTGGTATGACGTAGCCATAGGCTCAAAGCACCCAACGGTGTGCCCGAAAATGCCGAAAGAAGAAGGCGAATCCAAGAAAAGGGATTTGGCGACCTTCGAGAACTTGGGAAACAACTTTCAGAAGAAATGGCAAACCAATATCTGAACCCAGAATCATTGGGTGAGCAATATTTCCCAAACCCGCGGCTGACTGTCCGGCGGGTGCTCCATTTTACGGGCAACGACTTAATTCAATCATGCCAGGTTCTACGATGCGAGGGAACCAATTGAAGGTCAAGAGACGCTATAGGAAGTGACTTGTGGGATCTTGTGGGATTTTCGGCCCTTTCACGTCTGAAGTGGACATTTGGCCTGTGCCATGCGGGCAAAGCGCCTCGAAAAAGCCAGGCGCGCATCTGGGGAGCAGTGAATCGGAGCCTCAAGCACGGATTGGGGGGAGGGCTGGGGTGACGAGGAAAGCCGCCGCGTCGGCTGCTCATGCGCGTGGTGGCCTGAGAGACACCGGGCGAAAGAACGGTTGTACTGCAGTAAAGGGGATGGCAGAGTGTTCCCAAACACCACCCATGTCACCCATGTCAGTTGGAGACACGTTGAATATTGATTGTAGCCAAGATGCTCAAACGCTTGTATTCCGAATTTTAGGCTAAAGTGGCACGCACTGCGCGGAAGAGACGGGCGGGGGAAGAGACGCAAAAGGGCCAGAGACATACGTGTGTGAGTGTGTGTGTGTGTGTGTCCGTGTGTTTGCGCGTTTGGGTGCCTGTGTGTCTGTGCCTCTATGTGCGCCTCTGTTTGTATGTTTACGTGTCTGTGTGTCTGTGTTTGTTTTTGTTTGTGTTTGTTTTTGTTTGTGGGTGAACCCGGCCCTTCCCAGAACCAACGCCAAGACACGGAAGTCGCGAGGAAGCAATGCGGAAGCTGCGCAGAAGACGTTTGCCCAGGCAACCCGCTCCCCCAAGCCTTCGTGGCCCAGCTTCAGATCGCCAGCTGCAGCTCCAGTCCGCCCAGACAGCTCCTTACCTCCAAATTTTACAGCAACCGAATTCCATGAACGAAACCCAGCAACAACTTGACGTTTAGATTTCCAAGCGCTGCGGAAGAGCGCGGAAGGGCGGCGCAAGGAAATTCTCAGACCCCCAAATGTTCTAAGGGCTATCCAATGGTACGATGGACCTTAAGGTTCTTGCAGGTGCCGTCCCAAAAGCAAGCAAAGCTGAAAGGAACCCCTGGAAGATCGTTGTTTGCTTGTGAGGGTATCTCCTTTTTGTTGCAGGGTTTAAATAACACGAGAATCCAAGCGGAAGCCCGCCATGTTGCATTGCCAGACTTAGCTGGGCAGCATGCCGGGGGCATATCATAGGCTCGCATACATCATTGTGTTTTTCGTTGCGTAAGGCAAGCCTGGGATGATACATCATAGACCTGTGCATGCGTTTGAAGCTTTTATGTTTCGCAGCGGCTGCGTCTTTTTAGGCTTTGCGTACGTTTCGCGTAGGCTCCGCAAGGCCAATTTATTGAATCTATTCCTTTCCGGCCGGGCCACTGCCGCTGCTCATGTCAAGCTTCCCACCTTGACTTTCTACACTTGTACTTAAAAGTTGCTATTTTGGAGCTGGAGCTGTGTATCGCACAAGCCGCAAGCAGAGTTAGTTAGGAAGCTCGAGGTCGCAAACCGGTTGGCGAGCGGCTTGCGTAGGGCCAAGGAAGAAGCAAATACGCACGTTGTGCAACAGAGTGTCCTATTGCTCAGGGTTCCCAAAAAGGGGCCGAACCCAGAGCCTCACTGGCATCTTGCAACTTAACGCGGCACAAACCTTTTTCTCAAACGGAGATTCACCCTGCAGTGGTTGCAGCGGCGACCGGAGAGTTTCTTGGCCCAGCGCTGGCCACAGTGGTAGACGGCAACAGTCCTTTAGGGCATTGTGTACTATGTTAGACATATTTTAGTAATAGTACCCTCTGTTGTACAGACTTTTTTTCTTCTTCCAGATCCTGTGGCTGTTTTTGTGGTACTCTATTATGTTTTTTTTGCCGGAAGCAACGCTGGAGAAAATATGGGCAACGGGAACTTGGCCGGCACGTCGGGCAAACAAGCCGGGCAAAAAACGGGCAAACAAATCCTGGCAAACATTGGGAAATCCTTTTCTTGAAGTGGTCTCCAAACCATCAAACTTAAGATAACTTCTTTACAACAAAGTGAGGGTGCCTATAAGGGCCCCTGATCCTCTTTAGTCTGACTGTTTTGGGGCCTTCTTTAGTGTCCAGCTGGTTTCGGGGTTGCTGAAAACGGAAAACCCAAAGCCTCAGCCTTCTACTTTTAAGGCGGGGGGGGCTCATTCTAAGCTCTCCCCAGCTCAAAGGTTAAAGGCCTGAGATCTAGGAAATCCATTTTGCAAGTTGTTCCCAAACCACCAAATATAAGATAGGTTCTTTGCAAAACAGCGAGGGCAATCAGTCACACAAAAGGGGGTGCCCACGAGAGCCCCTGATCCCTTTTAGTCTGACTGTCTTGGGGGGTTGCTGAAGAAACGGTCCTTGGCAATACTAAAGTAGAATTGACACTGCTAAAGTAAGTACTGGGAATCTGAGCGTCAGACTTTGCAATACGAAAGTAGAATTGGAATAATAAGGTATATAAGTACGGGGAATCTGAGAGTCTGCCTTGGCAATGCTAAAGTAGACTTGGCAATGCTAAAATAAGTACTGGGAATCTGAGAGTCAGCCGGCAATACTAAAGTAGAATTTGCAATGCTAAAGTATGTGCTGGGAATAGCCTTGGCAATGCTAGAATAGAATTGGCAATACTAAAGTAAGTACTCTAAATCTGAAAGGGAGCTTTGGCAATGCTAAAGGAGACTTGGCAAGACTAAAGTAAGTACTGGGAATCTGAGAGGCCTTGGCAATACTAAAGTAGAATTGGCAATACTAAACTAAGTACTCCTTATAACAACCCCCAAGACTTTCATTAAAGAGGGTCCAGCTGACTGGTTCCACTGTTCAGGGGGGGGTCCGTGTAAAGAGGGTCCAACATTAAAATAGTTGTGCGTTTAGAGTCAAGCACAAGTTCTTGCAGCTCACACATTTCAACAACTTGGCTTTCGGCCAACCTGGCTCTAGAGAATCCTCCGACCCACCTTTGAGATTTGCAGAGAAGACACGTGAAGACACCCAGAAAACTACCTCAAAACTTTGTTGCCGCCAAAATCGCATGATGCTGGGGTCGCAGCCAGTTCCCGTAGAATTTGATTGGATTGCCAGCTTGTCAGTTTCTACGATGCCTTGACCTTTGCCAGCTTCCAAGTTGTTTGGCAGGCTCCCCGCTAAAACCCCCGCTTGTGCTTGCAACTGAGCTCCTTGTCTCTGCCCCCGACCGGCCAGCGAGGCCTTGCGCGACATAGGCGCGCATCCTAACACAAAAGGTGAGTGACCTTTTGCTTGCGACGGCTTGGGGGATACGGTCGGCAGCGAACCGTTTCAATTGGAAATGGCTTTAGTTTTTGCTACCTGCTTTTGGACTCCGTGAAGCGCAGGCTTTGAGTGCGACTAGCTGTACTTTTCTTGGCTATATGTTTAGTTAGAATTTGGGCTGGTCTTGCTTTGAATTTTGGTGGACTTGAAAAGGCGGGTAAACGGAAATTCACATTGTTTGAGCCCCAAACCCAGACTTGCGTTGCTTGACTGTGGCAAGTGGGATCCAAGCAAAAGATCGATCTGCTGGCTGTCAGAAATAGTTCGCACCCAAAAACCGTTTTGCGTAGCCACACAAGGGGAATCACACGGACCCCCGACGGTGATGTGTTGCCACGACAGCGATGTTTGGGCTTGCCAGTGTTTCTCAGCCAAAAAAACGGGGAGACATTGGCCAGCCCCCGCAAGAACTGGTTGTATAACCAGATTGCCGATCGCATCGCATTTCTTTTCTTTGCGAAAGGTTATTTGTCGCCTAGCAAAACAATCCCAGATCTCCACGGCGCCCTTTCTTTCATTGTCGGGCGGGTTTTCAAGAGCAAGTCCTTCTTGGTGCTCGAGTGAGGTATTGGACTAGTTTGATTGCGAAATGTTCGGCGCCTGAGTGTTTCTTCCTGGTGCTTTTGGGCCTGGGCCTTTGGCAACCTCAAGAGGACGAGACTGTCAAGTGCATTCTTGTAGGGGGGATTTTGCAGAGTCATTTCCACACGCACTACTGCAACACACAGGGACGTTGGTCTCAGAGACCTCAGCAGCCTCGTTCAACTGCACCAATCAGAGCCGTGCGCATGCTTTTTTGCAATAGCGGCCCGCTGGTCTAATCAAAACTCACAGGCAGTTTGGAATGGCGCGGTGTGTGTCACCGGGGCACAACCTGTGGCCAGTGTAGTCAAAGCACGCGTCCGTCCGCTCGCCAGCGCTTCTAGGCGGCGTAGCGCCAAGTTCCACTTGTTGAGTTGAGTGTAGTCAAATCACGCGTCCGTCCGCGCGCCAGTGAATGCAGGCTTTTAGGCGGTGTAGCGCCAAGTTCCACTTGTTGAGTTAGAGAGCCAATCCCCTTTGAGAGGTAGGCCGTTGTGAGGTGACCAACGGAATCAGGCTTTGCGCTTGGCGAGTTGCGCGAGGGTGAGCTGGAGCCCGCGGAAGCTGCTCACCTTCACCTCACTGGCTTCGAACCTACGCGCGGCCCGCTGGCGAAGCAGTTGCAAGCAAGCGCAGCGAGTCTCAGCGCTCCTACAAGTTTACTCGTGGCCGTTGCGCGCCTTTCTTTGCAACGCAGTCCTTGCTGCTGGCTACACGTTTGGCCCAAATAGAGGTCAATTGTGAGGTTGGGGTTCTGCCGTCATGCTGAGCCTGTTGCCCGCGGCGAGGCGTGCTTTCGCTTTTGCCTTTGCCTTTCATCTCAAATAAAAACTTGCTTTGCTTTTCAGTTCAGCCTGGGATAGTTGCAGTTTCGGACGATGTCGGGTCGCCAGTTGCACTGCGTATTGTTGCTTGCAGGCAACGGCTCGTGGCAACACTTCAACTCCACGCTGGCCGCGCGTTGCGCTGGGGTCCTGGGCCGCAGCAGTGATAGATGTCTTGCAATGGAAGAGTTCTTTTCGATCGCGCGCCGGCGTCACGAGCAGCAGAGCTCAAGGTGAACAAGTCGGCCAAAGTCAGTAGCACGAAATAGCCCTCCAATAACCCTGCTGGCTATATCTTTGGTCAGAAGGGTGCGTTTTCGGAGTCACGGCCCTGGGTGTAACGCATGTGTCACCTTAGGGATGATCTTGGGCCGTCGCGCAGCAAGTCGTGGTTTTTCTTGTGGTGGTGTTGCATTACGGATTACAACAAGTCAAGCAACGCAGAAAACGGGCGCGGTTCTTGTTGCGCACTTGGTTTCACGGCGAAGAGTGCTCACCAGGTTGTCCGCGCTTTACCCGTAGACAAGTGGGCATGTGGAGTAGGGGGTATGGTTCATAATCAACGTGTGCAATAGAAAGGCCTTCATTGAGGGAGGCGACAGGGGGATCATATGAACCCCGTGAATTGAGATGGCCCAAAACCACATGAGGCTTGGGGTGGAACAATGTTCCCACAGTACACGTGCGCCTGAGGTTTTTGTTTAGGGGAATCTTTTTCAAAGCAACGCAACAGCCATGTTTGGATAGGAGCCGCCCGCTTTGCCAGGACAGAAAGGACTGGACCCATTGTTTGGCGGGCTCCCTGCTAAAATAGCTACTTGCTTGCAACTGGGGTCCTTGTTTCTGCTCTGGTCGGCCGGCGAGGCCTTGCGCGGCGTAGGCGCGCATCCTGGACCGATTTGCCGACGCCGATGCTCATGAGGTGAGCCACCCCCCAAGAACGGTGCAATTTGGTATCACAAACGGGTGATTTTTCACAACCATGGTTTGAGTCCCACAAACTCGTTTGCTCGGAGGGCTTGGTGCCAAATGCAGGGTGAAGGCTGGCAGCGAACAGTTCCAGCTGGAAATGGCTTTAGTTTGTGTACGTGGTTTTGGGTAGGCTCCGTTGTGTAGCTGTACTATTGAATATTGTTGTTACATGTTTAGAGTTTGGCTGGTCTTGGTTTGGCACGGTCACTTTTGTCTGGCTTGCAAAGAGGCCAAACGGAAACTCACACTGTGTGTGCCCCAAACCCAGATGTTGTGTCGCGCCTGTCTGTGGCAAGTGGGATCTAAGCAAAAGATCCTTTCTATAGAAACATTGGCATCCAAAAGCTGTTTTGCAAAAGGGGGAAACATACAGACCCCCGACAGCGATGTTTGGGCTTGCCAACATTTACAATTCGGCGCTTGCCAAGAGACGCATGCCACAAGTTGGGGTTGCTTTCACCTGCCCCCCGCGTGAGCTTTCTTCCACTCCAGGAAACGATCAGGCTTCCTGATGTCTGGCCAACCTTGAACAATTAGTTGTGGCCAGCGTCGCAATACGTTTCTCTCTGTGGCACCTTCCCTTTCTGGCGTGGGCAGATTTCCGAAAGCAAGTCCTTCTTTCTTCCTGGTGCTCGGCTGGAGGTCTGCTAGTTTGATTGTGAACTGTTTGGCACCTGAGCGTTTCTCCGTAGCAACTAAGCCATTTTGGGCCAGCGCCTTGGCGGCCTCAAGAGGATGGAGACCTCGAGAGACTGTAAATGGACCCTTGTAGGAGATAGTCATTTCCACATGGTCCTACGGAAGCTGGTCAACACTTGGTCGTGGCCACCTCAACCTCAGAAGCCTCTTCTATCAAAATCCGTCAGATGCACCGCACTGCTCTTGCAATAACGGCCCGCCGATGCACTCCACTATTCGCAGGCAGTTTGGAATGGCTTCGAAGCAAAGCGCGGCCCGTCGGTGTGGCAGCTGCGAGCAGCGTGCAGGGGGCAGCGATGCTGACCCGGCCATTGCGCTTACTTGCTTTGCAACGCAGGCTTCGATGCTGGCTTCGCGTTAGGTCAAACGTAGGTCACTTGTAGCGCTTGCATGTTGCCGCGCAGGCTGCGCGTTTTGCAGCAGGCAGATCCCTCTTGATCTGGCCTGTATTTCCATTTTTTCGAACTGGCTTTTTCAGGGATGCATTTCGCTGGATATGAGGATGTATGGAGGCGCGACAGTAAGTGTAGCAAGGTCCTTGTGTCTGATCAATTTCCCATTTGGAGCGCCCTACCAAGCGGCGGCGCCGAGTTGCCACTTGTTGGTCAAGAGTCAAGACGCGTTGCACATGTTTGCTTGCAGGCAATGGCGCCTGGCGAGACCTCAACTCCTCAATGGCTGCGTGTTCTGCTGGGGTCCTTGGCGTGGCCACAGAACGTGTTACGCTGGAAGGAGGTTCTGTTGCGGTTAGGCCGTGCGGTCATCGCATCAGAGAAGGCAGCACGTCAAACGAATCACAAATCCTATGGCTTGCGGAAAAATAGAAGGGCCAAACGCCTCGTTGTCTCAAAGTGCGCTTGGCTGCTGAAAAAGGGGAATGTTTGGCGGACTTCTTGCGACGAGCCCCCGCCCCAGTTAAAACTGTTCAAGGGTTTTTGCTGCCAGACAGCATTGTTGGCAGCCACCCTCCCGTGCGCAGCCTTCACCACCCCACTTGCAGATTTTGGCGACTCCAACGCCCAGGACTCAAACCCAACCCATTTGTCGGGGATAAGTTTTTTTGTCGAACGGTCAGTTTCCACCAGACTGGCAGATGGTAAACACAATCTTTGCTTTGGCCCAACGGGTTGGGCAGAGCCCTACGCGAGTACTGCCAAAAACATGGAGCCGCTCGACTGACCATGTCACAATGATCTTAGTTGCGATAAGGTTGGCTCGCTCACCAAATTCCTTAGACAGGTTTTACTTACTCGAATTTCCAGAAGAGGTTTTGCAACCCACTGATGTTTATGTTACATGTTGTTTCCGACCTGGGCTTTCAAAAGCAATCCATAAACCTGCACAAGATTTCATGCCTACAGATTGCGGATTACCGCCCCCCATTCCCCCTCCTCCCCCCATTTCAAGCCCAGTCAATGCGTGGCCCGTGAGGCAGCGCAGTGGCAGGAGGTGCTGCAGATCTGGCGCCATGGCGTCGACAACCGTTGGAGGAAGGGATCGTGGCGGCTCGCACCCGCGTGGCGCGTGCAATGTCGGAATGTGTCATTCGGGGGACCCCCCAAAATTGGTAGGTTCGCATTCCTTTACGTGAAAGCCCTACAACAATGTCCCGCCAAACTCAGAGTTGCCTTCTGGCGTGGTTTAGCGCACGACTTTTGCGATGTTGATGCAGTCCTGCGCAGTTCATTTGGCGGTGTTTGCAGGGCACGAGCAGGTTTTGTGAAGCTTGCCTTCTTTGAAACACGATACACGAGAAGCAACCAGAGTTTTCAGGGTGGATCAAGGTTGCTTCCAAGACTCCAGCTGGCAAGTCTGTAAGAAGTGGAGTCGTAAGGCTTGCAAACAACAAGCTTCCAATAGTGACACTGCCGTGTGTGAGAAGGTGATTGATTTCGCGCATGCGGACAAGGCACGCATGACGAAACAAACACCTTATAAAACGAAGGCGACCTTCGAAGGCAAGGGCTGGTGCGATATTCCAGTTTGGCACATCTGGATTTTGGCGGCGGATCAAATAGAGAATCCCCAAAATGTTTGAAATCCTGTTGGTTCCCCTTTAAACATCTTTGAACTAATTTTCTACAAGGAGCTCACTTTTTTTCAAGAAATTTCCATGTGTTAGGGCCATGGACTTTAGTCTTGACACAAACATGTGACGTGTGGTTTGATTCCCACCCGGCTGTGCCCGGCGGGCCTTCCTCAAGCTTGGGGGCCTTACAGGCCAGGATCTGGCATTCGGTCTTGCCTGCGGGCTCGACATAAACGAGTATAGCTTCGGTCTTCTCAAGTCAACCTTCATTTTTTGGATTTTACTTGAGAAGCCTACTTTAGGTGGCAAACAAATGTGGATTTGTTTGGGCCAATCCACTCAGGAATTTACCCTTTGGTTTTGCCACGAACTGCTTACTCAACTGGGCAAGGGTTTTGAGAGCTGATCAGTCCGTCTATTTGGATTGAATAAGAAGAGAAGCAAGATTTCAGCATTCAGGAGCAAGCTGGTGAGCAAACATCGCAGCCCTCTTCCACGACCCACCTTTGTCCCCCTTGGCGGCTTTGGAGAAAATAGAAGATCCAGCGCGCTCGTGTGGCCTGTCATCAGGTCGTAAGCTGGCAAACCGGCTTTAAGGCAACATCAAGACAGGGTTCCATTTATTATGGCCCCTCTTGCAAGTTTTAAGCATCACCTTTTGAACCATTTAGAGGGATCTTCCTCTAGATGGGGTGTGTGCGTTTAATGGGAAACCTAGGCAACCCTGTCAAGACTTCATGAAAGTAATAACGAGCTCACCGACTGTGTGGACATGTGTGGACAAAACGTGCCCACGCCTCGTGACAAACGCCCTTACTTTGGCATTGATTATTTCCAGATTGTGTAACCATTGACCCAGAAGAATGGACAAATATAAGTTTAAGCCATGGTTAGACATCACCTTTTGACTGGGTTGTCAAGTCTCACCAGTTAGAGCATGTCAACGCCAACCAGAATTGGGTTGAAACCCCTGTACTTGAAAGTAGTATTCGGGAGGAAATATCGTTTTCAAAGTATTGACTTTTACCAGATCGCGGAAGCGCCGCGCAAGGTTCGCGGAAGGGGTTTCTCATTTATGTACTCGCGGAAGCTTCGCGGAAGGGCTACGATTCAATCACGAAAACAAGGAATTGTAGTTGTCCTTCACGCGCGGAAGCGAAAACGAACTTCAATCCCATTTCTCAATCCGCGGAAGCGACACGGAAGCGATTCCCTCTTCAAACCTCTTGCTTCATGCCGCACAAGCTCCGCGGAAGCCTTCGCGGAAGGGATTTGATATTTCTCTTTGGCCGCATCTGGGTTTACAACACTGCTCAATGGAAACTGAAGGGAAATGGGTCTTTTCATACACGTATAGTTGACTTCCTAGAGGAGGGGCCTGTTGCCACTGTTTGGGTTTAGAATATGTCTAAACGAAGCACAAGAGACGGGAGTTCGATACATCACCTGGGCTCATAAGTGCTGAAAGTGTCTGGCGGGAGGCCAGACGTGGTGAGCTACAACATTCTGCTCCGCGCCCTTGGGCCCGTGGACCCAACTCGCGTACTCGCCGGTTTGAGGGTGAATCAAATCCATTGCCGAACCAGCCCCAACCCCTGGAGGGTGACTAACGGAAACGGCTCAAAAGCCAACTTTTCGGGGATCCCCACCTTTAAAGTGCCCTGAACAGATGATTTATTGGGTGGAATCAAAAGATGCCAGCCTGCTTTGCACGAACTTGGTTTCAGAACCTGGCCAAGGCAACCTCAAAGGGCACTGATGTACTATAAGAGCCCTGAACAATTAAAATTGGTTTGTGGCTGGGTACTTGAAAGCCTAATGAAGTCGTGGCTGACTTTGAGCGTTTCATGGTCGTGGCTGATACAGAATGCTCAATATTCGGGCAAACTGTCAGAAAAGAGTTTTTGAGCTCAGCAGACTTGGAGGACTTGGAAGAGTACCGCTAAAAGATGTGAAGCAAGTCGTTCCACCTCTACCTTGAAGTGGACCCCTTGAACACCAACATGAGGATGCTTAACCCAAATGGTTGGGTAAGAGTGGGACCCTCTGAAGGAACACCAAAAGGAGGTCGGTAAAGCACTAGTGTGTTTTGGCATAACATACCTGAATCAAGGACTCCACAAGTAAGGGCCCTTCATCAGCAGAACTACGATCCTACGGAAATAGGCGATGGTCGGGACAGGTCTTCAGGGCCAGCTGTCAGAGAGGTGCGCTGGCAACATCAGAAGAGCCGTGAGCAGGGGATTGGCCGCAGCGGCAGAGGAAGGACACACGTGGCACGGGCGTCACAGCAGGAGCATGCCATGAGCGGTTGAGGAGATGCGGCATGCGCCAAGAGAGGATTTCAAGGCTGATTTCTGAAGTGAACGACGGGTGAAGAGAATGAGAGTTAGCTCATATTCAGAGGGTTGCTCTGGAATGTAAACATTTGTTCTTGGTATGTAGTGGGTTGGCATCAAAGGCTGAATGGGAAGTGGTTGGAGCCAAGCATTCAGGTAGGAAATGTCCTAAAAACCAGAGTGACCTCTGCGCCTATGCGCTCTGGTCCCCACATACCCGACATGTGGGACATGGCTGAACCTATCAACCGGGCAGATGTCTATCCGACAATTTTGGAGTATGCGATGCTTGGCTGTGAGGCGCCAGCAACTGGACGTTGCGGCCTCTCCCCACAGGCGCTACATACAATGGGCTAAGGACCAAGGTAAAGCTGTAAATCAATGGGACTCCATTATTGGGCCAACGAGGTCGTTGACCAGTTCCATGACGAATTGGTGGCTCTTTAACCTCAGGATGCCAATGCGACTACGGCCAACCCCATCAACAAGGTTGAGCAGGAGAATATGCTTTTGACTGCTGACTTCTGGGTTCACACTCGGATAGGATATATAGACGGTGAATGTGATGTTGGCGAACTTCAAGTCGCCTGCATCCATAGCAAAAAAGACGACCAGCAGTTTTGTTCACAAATGTCGAAATAGCAATATCTAGCGCTAATTAGGTTAACTTGCGGGAGGGTTGAGCAACCCGCAACATGTACACACATATGTGTATACAGTACACTCACATGGGGCTGGCGCTGTTCAAGCCATTAGAGGTATATACAAAGTTTGAGGAATTCGAGCTCTGATTAGTCAGCCTCTCGAACTAGTTCACCTTTACACATAACCCGCCAAAAAATGCCATTGACACCTTGCCGCCAACAAGCATTGCACGTTCACCCCCTTCGGAAGGCGAACCTTGCCTTTTGAAGCGGATTCCTGTACAGTAACCCAACGTGGGTTTGACTCAAAATACATGGAGCTTCCATTTTGTTTGTGTGTGTTGTTTGTTTGATGTGTGTATCGACACAACACACCAAAAACATGTCCTCAACCCGCAACGAGTTGTTTAGCTTTGCTTAGGCGCGCAGCGCAGTGGCCCTGCGCCGCAGAAATCCTTCAGCAACTCCGGGAGGCAGGCCCGGGCCCTGGGCCTAAGGGCCATGGCTTGGTGCTTGGCCGCCGAATGCATTGTTTACAAATGTGTGTGGTGTGTGTGTGGGTGTGGGTGTGTGTCGTTGTTGTTTGGTTTATCAACCATCAGCAGCAAGAGTCCCATTGGTACCAGCCTCATCTTAAGCGAAAAGGGTGCAACATTTCGCAACCTCTGTTTTGGGGGAGCGCGGTTGCGGCAGATTGGTTGGACGGCGTGTCCTCGGTCAGATGCGCATGGCAGTTTCACGTTGCTTGCATGTTAAGTCCCTTTCCAATTCGGTGTTGAGAACTTGTTTCACTGGGATAACTATAGAGGAGTGCTGTGGGTCCTGCAGCAGAGCAGGTACGGTAGGCGTCCATTGCCAAAACCTTGAAAGCAGTTTGCTTGGCTTATATTAATTGATGGATTGTTTTTCGTGTTTTTGCTTTGTTGGCTCCCACCAGTCGTCATGAAGATCCTTTACTAGGTGTTTACTTGTTTTCAGTTTGGGAATGGCAGTTTTGCTCAGATGAATTTGCTTCCTTCCATTCCCCTACCGTGGGGTGACTGCTTGCAGTCACCCTCGCCACCATCGCACAGGCAGACAAAGGCGCGATGAGTCGAAGACGCGGCAGGGGAAAACATGGCGGTGGCTCCCAATTTGATGGCTTCCTGAGCTTATGGACTTTCAACTTGGGGAGACAAAAGGTTGTGTTTTGCTGGCAAATTCAATCAGGAAGTGGTCATAAATCGCTTCATGGGATTTTGGACAGCCCCTGAAAGGATTCCGGGTAAGCGAACCATGACGGGGCACCAGGAGCTTCACAATGGCTCGCATGCGGTCCAGCAAACAGGCTCCTACCATAAGGCACCCCATCTTGGATGGTTTCAGGGAAATCAAAAGGGGAAGTGGAGGGAAGTGTTGGGGTTTGGGCGCTGGAAGCACCAAACCTTTGTGGTTGCATAGCCGCCTGGTTGACTCGGTCGGTCAAAGGACATTCATGAACCCTGCACCCCCCGCGAGGTTTGGGGTCAATCAGCTTGCAAGCCAAATGAGCCTATAACACAGAAAGTGCCTTTTGTTTTTCTTGGGTCGCGTGGGGTTCCCAAGACATGGGCACCCTGCAGCTGCTGGGTATCCTCTGAATTTCACTGTGACTTATAGCAATTTCCGCATGTCTCTTGCATGTTCGTACGGAATTACTCCCCCAAGACTTTTGAAGCAAGGAGCTGTGGCCAACTTGGTGGATTGGGGGGCTGGGTTACAGTTTTATCAGTGGGCCAGTGGCTTGTGACCCTTTTTCCCACAACCTGTTGACACATGTCTAAAGTCGAGTGCCTTGAACCTTATAACTTTTCATGGGGGAGAGATGGGTATTGGTCCATTAGCCAGCAGAGTGTCAAGTACTTGGACAGGGAGCACTACCAAGTAATTCTACCCTGTTGGGGCCAAAGAATGTATCCAAGTTTCAGACCCGCGCATCAGTTTGTCCGCTTTAGGGCCCGACCACGGACCGACTTTGGTGCTCTTCCCATGGCCTGGGAGTTTCATGCGCCCGGCTCGTTCCGGCTTTGGCCGTGGTAAGTATCTTTATTGCCCAGTGTCAATTTTTACTTGTTGTACAGATGTGTGATACGGCCTACATCCTGGTTCTAAGACACCAACTGCAGGAAGTTCTACATGAAGTAACTCAAATTCAGGTCTTCCTGACTCTGCCGCTCAAGCTTACTTCCCCAGTTGGTTAGGGTGTTTTTAGCATCAGAACCCAGGATCAATCAACCACTGGTTGATACACAGGGGGCGTCCCAGTTTAGGATGACTACTTGACTGTTGGGGCAAAGACCCCCGCTAATAATCCACCAGGTTGATCAATCTGTGGTTGACATGAGTGGCAAACAAAGTCCAGGGTCTTCGTTCTGGCCCATCATAGTGTTGCTATCCATCACAAAAGTTGGCCAGGACTGGATTGTTCACAGTGATCCGATTTTGCTACCAAGGGGAAGTTTTGTCCCCCACTCAAGAAGTGAGTAAGTCATCAAGAATCAGGGAATATTTCCATATTGAGCTCGCGAGCTGGGTCAGGTGTTCGACCCAACATCAGGAGCTACAACACGAGCCTTCGCTGCAGTTTCTTGCGCGGGAAAAGACAGGGTTCTGATATCTCCCTTGCTCGAGAGGCTAGGCCCTTGACGCAATTGCAAGTTGAGAGTCTGTGATGGCCTGTGTTACTTGGGGATTTGTGCCTGGCCGCTTGTTGCTTGGGTATCCATAGTTGATTGACAAAAGCCTTCCTATGAACGAAAACCCTACAAAACTGAGGATAAATCACCTACCAGCTGGTGGGAAGTGTTTTGTTTTTGCATCAGGAGTACTATTATGTCAACGAATTTATTTGTCAGTCTCCTTTGTCGCCCCAATTTATTTGTTGAGCATCTTCCGCTCAGGATGCTGGCGGGCTACGAGAAGTCCGCGGCGGGCGTGCCCAGCTGCAAAGCTTGTTCAGTTTGCTTGAGAAGAAGAGAAGAGCTTGCACGTAATGTGAGGTTGTCGCAATTCTAGGAGCAATGTTTTAAATATGTTACATGCGTTGAAAGAGAGGCCCAAGGACTTCCAACCATCTTTCTGGGTCCCTATTTGGGCAGCGTTTGTGTTGTTTGTAGAATATAGAATATTGGAGGGGAAAACCAAATTAAGGCAATTCAAGGAAACTGGACAGGAGTTTTGGTCAAGGTGCCAGCATGCGCACTTCTTGGTTAGAACGCAAGCGCTTTCAACGGTGGGATCAAAGTATTGCGACTAGGCGATACTGGCAATACCTCAAGATTAGCAGATATTAGCAGCTTGAAAGATTGTAAAGTTGCCTGTCCAAGCCACCGAGGCGCATGGTTGGCTGGACCAAAGATATTAGCCCTCCCTTATCTGTGATCAAAACGCCTCGCAATTGGGACCTTTTTTGTCGTAATTTTACATCTTGAGGTTGTCCAACACATGTGTTGCGAAAGCTGAGGTCGTTACACCCTCAGAATCCAGCCCTGTTCCTTCGACATCACCCCCCGCCCTGGAGCCTAAGAGGATCACCATCAGGAACATAGTGGCACATTGCCATCATGCCTTAAGATATCAGTCCAACCGCACTGTCCTTATGACTATGCTGCAACAGCTTGCTTGAATGTGTTTGATTGTTGTCTACAAGCTCCAGCTGGCTTTCTTGTGTCGTCTACTCCGGTTTCGAGCAAATTTAGTTTCAGTCGATGAGTCTTATATCACTTCGTCCGTTTACCGCTTCAAGCATTCTGCGCTGTTCCTTCCCCTCCCGCGCCATGGCCGACGCCGGCGCGGGCGCTGCGGGCGCTGAGGGGGACGCGGCGGCGCCGCGCGAGGTGGCGCACCACGACGCAAGCCGTGCGGCGGTGTCCACAACGGCGCTGGGAGTGTCCTGGTTGCCTGCGGCCTTTCCATCGCCTTTCCATTTGTTGGATTCGGTTTTGGCCCTTTTGATGCTAATTCACCTATTAGTGGATGTTGATGTTTGGTTTGTTCTTGAAAGGATGTTGATATTGGATTTGTGAAGTATAATTAATTCAATACCTTGTCCGTTTTAATGACTTTGACCTGAGATGGTTTGAGTGTTTAGCAGTGTTAGCCTTTTGATTTGATTTATTGTCGAAACGGGTTGACCTGCTGTTGACCTTTGACGGCGTGTAACCTTCTTGGAGTTGAATAGCCAGGGTACTTGGTATGTGATTTGTAACCATGATTTTACGCCACCGTTTCCGTGGTGGTAAGTCCCCTAAATTTGTTGTTTTGGAACTTGTTGCAGCTGAGTGGCGGACTCAACCCTCAAGATATCTTTATGATTGTGGGTTCCCTACAAAAATGGTCAAGCCCAAGAATGGCTCTTTGTCGGACACCGAATGTTGTCTTGGTTGCTTTGTGGTTGATTCTTCTTAACTTTGGATGAATCTGGACGACTCCTCCAAACAGGGCGTTGAACCCTTTAGGTTCCCCGGGTTCCTGCGAAATTCAAAATAAACAAGAAACTAAAGGTGTGTGTGCGTGCGTGCGTGCGTGCGTGCGTGCGTGGGTGGGTGGGTGGGTGGGTGGGTGGGTCTTGGTTGGGTGGGTTGGTGGGTGGGTGTGGGTGTGTGAGTTGTGTAAGTGAACTGTAAGTGTGCGTGTGCGTGTGTGTGTTGTGTGTTTGTGTTTGTGTTTGTGTTTGTGTTCGTGTTCGTGTTTGTGTTCGTGTTCGTGCGTGCGTGCGTGCGCGCGCGCGCGCTTGGGTGGGTGGGTGGGTGGGTGGGTGGGTGGGTGGGTGGGTGGGTGGGTGGGTGGGTGGGTGGGTGGGCGGGCGGGTGGGTGGGTGTGTGTGTGTGTGTGTTTGGGGATGTAAGCTTTTTAGGATCAGATTTATGACATACTTGGCAAATGAATTTGTTTGATGCGCCAAGCACAACACACACACACAGATTTGGGCTGGTGTTCGAACATGACCGCAAGCCCAGTGAATAGCTTCCGTTGCGCTCGCCAATCTGAAGGGTCCCCAAAGCTGGATTTGCTAAACGTCTTTTGGGCAACTCGCTCCCTGAGTTTCTGGACTTGAGTCACTTATGGGTCTGGACCGTGTTATTGGCAAACAGTGCAGGCATTTCTTTTGGCCAGTCCACTCAGGAAGTGAGGCATTTGACGCTGAAACCCTTCAAACGGTTCCAGCTGGTTCCAGCTTTAGCCATGCTTCGATCACGAATTGTTTTTGTATGTGTTTGCCCCCTTGTGCTTGTGTTTGATTGAATATTCAAACACACTTTGCCACCAGTTGACGTTTTGAAGGACAATAATTGCGACCTGACCGAACACCCATGAAAGTGACCCTTTGGGACCAGTTTGACCACTTCAGTTTGGGACTTTTTGCAAGGTGCCCTTTGATTTTCCCTATTTTTGGAGCCCTCTTCGGACGATTCGAAAGGGACCCCCCTTTATAAAAGACTAGACTAACAACCCCTTTGTAAAAGACTAGACTAACAACCAACCGCAGGCCTGTGCGCTGCGGGCCTTAGAGTCGCAGAAGCCGCCGGCGGAGCGGCTGAGCCTTGGACGGAAGGGCGGAGATCCGATTCCGAGGAGCCTGGCTACAAGGGTTCAAATGGCTTCAAAGGGTTTCAAAGGGTTTCAAAGGGTTTCAAAGGGGTTCAAAGGGGTTCAGGGGTTCACTGAAATTTCTAGCCACTTGGACAACTCCTGGACCGCATGTGTTACTGGCGGCCTTGCAAGCACCTATAGTTGTCGCTCAAAGCATCGGTGGGATAGAAACAGGTCACATGTCGTATTTTATCCAGAACTGACGTGGCTTGTTGAACGTGCGAGATGAGCAGGCCGTTCAATTTGAATACACTTGTGTGATGGGATGAATAAACTAAATTCACGCACACAGTTCACAGAATATGTGTATTTGATTTATGATATAGAAGCTTCTAGGTGTATGTGCATATATATATATACATATGTATATATATATATATGTATGTGTTGGTTAACAAAAGTACATCTATGTTCTTACAGGCCACTGGGGCTCAGGCCACTTGTTTAGCCAATTGGACAAGGACGCTCCTGTGACACACAGCAGTCAAAAGCCATCCCAAGCAATTGACTTAGAACCCGGGTCGGTCTTGCTGATTCGCGTTGAACATGGCACACATTTTAAACCAACTGTAGCCGGAGTCGAATCGTTTTTGGACAAGCACAACTCGTTCCCACACTTCCATGACTTCCATGGGTGGTGGAAAATTGTAGTCGTAGGGACAGCTCACTTTGCTTTGGTATCACAGAAAGGGTTATTTCCCACAGACATGCACACTTCCGAGCGGAAACACAGTGATAACACAGTGATACGGGATCCTTGTGTCAGATTCTTCTTCACGCAAACCTCACGGCCAGGCCATTCAGAAGTGTGCTTAGCTTCACGTTTTTGTGGATGACCTCCCAAAGACACCACGCCCCAAACACCCTCCTGCGGCAGACCAACGTAGACCAAAAGTGGGGTCGGTGTATTTGGGGGGATGGGGGTGTCGCGTTGGAGTGTGGTACTTGTAGCATCAATTTTATGCTACTTGTTGGTAATTCGCACAGTCGATTTCGTACCTTCGGGTCCTCTGTGACAGTGCTGCACTCACAACAGCAAGCTCACCTTAGGGTGACACGATCTCACCCATGAACGTGACAGTCCAAACCAGAAATAGAAGCAGCAATCAGCTCTGATTCTACCTTGAAATCTGGTAGGAGGTGACCCTAAGTATCATTGTACACTGCCATGATCCATGCTCCCTTGTGTGGATAAATGAAAACGCTGTGAACGTATCAAGAGATCAAGCCGTATTTGTGTGCGTAGCAGGGTTCCTTTCTTATATCTCCGCACACAGGTAGATATCGAGCCAATTCCCCCCAACGTAGGAGGGATATCACCCTTGGAAAAGTAGTTTGCGCCGGACAATGATGATAACCAACCAGAAACCAGTGGGACTCATTGGAACTTACTAATTACATAGGCCTAACCAACTAGAATCGGTTGTGGATTGCTTTTAATCAATAGTCACTAGTATAGGAGTAAACTATCAGTAATTGTTGGTCGCTTGCACTATGTTCAATCTCGCTCTCTTGCAGTTGGGTGAAAGTAGATGACACAATTCCTTTATGTTGGTTAGGTTGCCCCCTTTGCTTTCCAGCACAACGACGTAAAAATGATAATGCTACGACTCGGGCCCACAGGATCCACGATCCCTTTGCGGCGGTGGTGTGCGGAGATGCCATCACTGAGCTGCCGTTGATGAAGGAGGTGGGGCATCCTGGCTCCTTTGTTCCTTTGTTGGGGGGGGGGAGTTTCTCAGAATGGTTTTCGGACCCATTGCTTGTTCGTATTCAAAGGGAAATCAGAAGGACACCAACCATTTCAGAGGACCGATTCCTGCCTCTTGAACCCCAAACAACTGCTTTTGGGGATGCCTGATCGTGGATCTTCCTTGAAAGAGGCAGGATTTCCACAGTTGAGATGACTTCCAGATATTGTTTGGCCATCAACTGTTGAGCAGCTCTCCATCGACGCTGTGTGTGAGGATTCAACAGGCCAGATGGGGGACACCTGTACAGAAGGTGTTACATGGTGCTCCCATTGGCGGATGACTTAAATTTACCTAGAACCTGCCAGGCTGAGCTCTCGGCGCAGGGAAAGCAGTGAAAGAATGAAACAACTGCTTCTACCACGCCCCGAAGACACCTCCAGTTTGATGCAGCAGCAAGCCACACTGTGGTGCTGGACAAAAGGTACACCGAACGCTGGAAGTGCTTCCCTCTGTGAGCTGGTGTTTATCCATCCATCTATCTTGTTTTATCGCATCTGATCTTATATTGCCTACCTGTTCTACTTGTTGATGGTGAGCTTGTTATGCTTGCTTATGGCGAACTCACCGAACGGTAGTAAATCA